AAAAGACACATGCGCTACCTTGGATTGATGCGTACGAAGGAATCCTTGCAGGAAGATCAGCAATCGAAGGAGGAGGAAGGAGTCGTGTTGTCTTCACGTGTAGAGGAAGCCGCAAACGACAACAGAACTCTGCATGAGCTGCTCTATCGAGTCACACCAAGATCCAATAAGAGGGAAGGGAAGATCTGCAGCGCTTGCTTGCGGCTCTGGATAAAGTTAAGACTGAAGGGAGGTGAAGGAAGAGAGTTAGCGTGCATGAAGCTAAGGCTATCAACCGAGACTAAACAAATAAATTTTAATAAATAATTTTAATTACTTAAGTTATTACATTATATATACTTAAGCTCATCATGATAACTAAATTATAGTGAAATGTTCATAAAATTAACACCATTAAGGAGAGAAAAGGGAAGGTGATATTAGCACTGTGTTAAGCCGAGCCATTCGAAGTAGGAGAGGCCCATGTGGCAGCGTGCGTGCGAGTGTAAACCGAACTGAGATCTATTAAAGGTAAGGGCATAGTTTTGATTAATATAGTATATGTTAGAATTTTATAATAATTAAAAATCTTGTATTAATGTTAATATTATGATCTAAAGTAAAGATTTGAGAAAATTAGATCTAAAGGGATTAGGTCTTTGGATTGTGGATTTTGAAAGAAGCAAGAAAGGAGTGAAGGGTTAAGCTTATTCAGAGACTTTTAAGTCAAGGTGAGTAATTATTTTCTTTTATGCATTACATTAATGTTTTATTAAATGAATAATTATTTTATTAACTCATTTAAAAATCTAATAATTTATTTTTGTATTGCATTTTGAAAGTATTAATTATGTTTCACAATTTAGGAAGAAAATGACTGACATATGAAAGTGCATTTCAAAGGATTTTAATTGATATAAAGTGCTAACTAAAATTTTAAATTAAACATTATTACCCTCAGATGGTATTGGCAGGAGATGCGATATACTCGTGCAAGATAAAAAAAATAGTAAAGGTGTACCTTCAGGTGCAATTTTGGGGTACCTTCTGGTACAGTTTTTAGGATAACTTCGGGTATATTTTTTAGGATACTTTTGGGTATGAAGATAATCCTGTTATGACTCTTAAATAAGTTGAAAAGAATAAACACTTACATTGAAACGAGAAGGGGTAAATTTAAAATAGAAATTCAAAATTTTAAAAGGTATTGCATTTACTTTTGATCATTCATACATAATATTAGCATAATAATTTATTATAATTATAATTGTTCATTAACTCAAAAATACAGTTGAATTTAATTAACTCTTTCAAGAAAAAATAATTTATAGGTTGATATGTCTGGTAGGAGAGACTTGATTTACAGGAGAAGTACTATCGCTAGGTATTTATGATGATAGTTTTCTTGTAATGTTTCCTTCAAATAGTGATATATAGTTCAATATTGGATTGAGATATTTCGATCAGATTATGTTGTTTCTAAATGCGAAATGAATATATTCGTGATAGGGTTGGTGTAGCTCCTGTGACGGACAAAATTAGAGAAAGTTGTCTTAGATGGTTTGGTCACATTAAACGTCGACCATCTGATGATCCGATTAGAAGAGTAGATGTTTTAGATTCGACTTGTGTTAAGGAAGGCAGAGGTAGAAGAGGTAGACCTAGGAAATAGACCTAGGAAATCTTGGGCTTATTGTATTAAAAATGATCTTAATTTACTAGAACTAAATAAAAATAGGACACTAAATAGAACGCAGTGGAGAAGAAGGATTCATGTAGCCGACCCCACGTAGTGGGATTAAGGCTTTGTTGTTGTTATTGTTGTATGTTGTTTTTTCTAGATGTTTTATTTTTATTGCAGTTTATGAATTTTAGTGGCTCTTTTATATATTTGAAAGTTCTACAAATTTGTGGATAGTTATTTAATTATCTTTATCGCCCAACTACAATTCCTGACTTAATTAATTCTAAACTATCAAGCAGAGGCGTAACACTTATGGTAACAACAATTCAGATAGCATATGCTGCATTGTTACAAAAACTATTCATTTATTTTATCCTTAAATTCTTTCCCTCAAGCAAGCAAAGAAAATGAATAGTGGCAATCTTGATTTTTTCACTGATTCTCCTGCATGAGATAATAATAGAATAGGATCAAACCTCTTTTCTTTCCTCAATTGGACTCGTACTGATGCAAGAAGATTAATCAGAACTTGCAGGACTTTTTACCCTTTTCCATGAGGTTAAGAGTCGATCACTCAATAATTATATAGCATAAATTATTATTGATTATGTGATGTCCAAATCAACTCAGATACACCCATTCTCCATTACAGTGAGAGAATATTAGGCATCGGATCATAGACAATGTGGTTCAAGGAACAAACCAAAGTTCACCATATAAATCACAAATATAATTGGGTGGAAATAGGACGATGGATCACAAATGTTAATCAACTATATGTTATTGAGCAAGATCACTATTAAGGAAAACTATCCATTGATTAACTACTACAATTTAAAAATTTTTCCAAACTCTTCAGATTCAGCTATCATCAGATTTAGCCAATAATTAAACTTCTCGATCTACATCAATTGTTTGAGTTGCAGATGGATGCATTCAACAATGGAAATATTTTCATATTATCCAAGATCGGTGACTTGTAACTTACCACTAGAGATGTTGTTGGGTACCCACAAAAACTAATCCCACTTATGACAAGAAGCTCTTTACCTTGCATTAGAAGGAAATGCATTAAAGGCACTTTTTGTTAGGAAAGGAGAACATAATACATACAAATCACCAACGACTACAAGAGTTGCAAATTTAGCCTATGTCCAATCTAGAAGTTCAATATGGTGATCAAGTACAAAAGACTGCAAAACAAGATGGCTAATATGCAAACTTCCCAAATTAATAATGCGGCCATAATCCCATTTGCAACTATGCAAACTATAAATGCATTATATAGTAAGTGCACAATATATTATAGATTTAAACATCCAAAAGAAGTGGGAAACCTAAAGGGGCTGGGCAGATAATTGAAGCAATTGCCATCAAATGCCAATGAAGTGGGCCAAAAAAACTGAAACAAATCTAGATAGCAAGAAAAAAGTATTAAGCCATCAATTTCAACAATTATTCCTGTTAGACAAGAAGTATACTACTACCAAAAACTTCTACTACTGACCAAAGGTGTCCATCATTTGACTTTGGTACAAGAGGTGCCTACTTGAGTAAAAAGAAACTTAGGACTTGTTTGGGATCAATTAAGTTTTTTGTTTTTCTTTTGCTTTTAAAACATGTTGGTTTAACGTGTTTTTTACATGTTTCTATTTTTTATTTCTAAAAATAAATTAATCTGTTTTTGAAAACATTCAAAGTTTTGAGTGTTTTCAAAAACAACAATATCTTAAACCAACATACCAAACATGTGTTATTTCAAATCAAAACATAAATAAAACAAAAGTAAAAAAAACAAAAATGATCCCAAACAGCCCCTAAGGTGTAAAGAAGACTCCAACATCTGAAACAGTATATTTAGTGGTCGAGTATGCTTCTGAATATATAAAAAACTTTTAGCTGATGTCTACTTTGCAATATATTAAAGATTTCAAAGCAATAGATGAGTTGTGCACCCTTGTTAGTACCAACTGGCCATGGAAGTTCATTTCAATAGACTTCTTGATAGGATTACTAGAACTGCAAGAGGGTTAAAATACCTATTCACCAAAGTGGATTGCCTTAGCAAAATGGAAAGCCAATTTTAGTTTTAAAATACCATCGCACTAGGGCCACAAAATTATTTTTAAGCATTTTATGAAATTCTTTGGGTTAACATCCCCCATTATTCTAACAGGAACAATAGATTTCTTAGTAATTTTCAAAAGGCCCTTTTGAAAGACTAAATTGAAGTAGAACACCATATTAATCCTCAAACATGTGGTGAAACAGAGAAAGGTCCATATGCCAATAAGCTACAATTCCTAGCACATAAAACTTATGATAAACATCATCAATATATGGAATTTTTCTTCAACAACATCATCCATAGGCCAAAAAGTCACCTTTTAAGGTATGCTTGCAAAGTCTTTTCACCAAGATTCTTTAGTTGACACTAAGGAGTTGGTAATGGTGACAATAGAACCTACAACGGGCACAAAATCCGACCAATTGATTAAATGGGTTAGAAAACATGACCCAAACCCAACTCTCCTTGAACCTAACTAACCCAAACTTGGCTTGAGTAGCCATTTTAACGTAACACATAATAGCCATTTTATAATAAAAAATACATAGTTTTGGGTCAAATTTAAGTAAAATTCAGGTTAAATGTGGGTCAAATTCGAGTTTGGTGTCAAACCAAACCTCGACCTGGAAATTTATTGGGTCAAGTTTTTAGACCCTAACATGACCCAAAAGATAATCATGTCAATCTAAATCCATTTTTTTGTCTTTCTTCCGAAATCATTCTTATACACCCCAAGTCCGGAGAGTTTGATGTCATTAGCACCTAAATAGGGCCGAAGTCTGAGTAGGATTCTAAAAGACCACCCATCTAACATTATAAGTCAGGTAACATAAATTCCTATCTCAATTACCAATTTGAGCATCGTATGCCTCCCATGTAGTAACAATCCTTGAGAGAGAAGTTCATTGCACTGTGGTTAACAATTCATGGTAGGAGCAGCAAGAAACCCATGACTCCTGACCAATAATAACAAAATTTCCAATTCAATGTATAAAATACCAAACTAGTATTTCATTGCTTCTCGCGGTGATTGTCTGGGGTTAATAGAAGAAAAATAACTCAACAACCAACAGACAATGAAACTTTCTTAGTGTTTACATAACCAACATTAATGTTCAGCAAGATGTAATATAAAATAGATAGGAGCAGCAGAAGAGTTATCATATAAAAAAAGGTCAAACATATGCTACATCCAAGAATTTGCAATCTTCTCCGTTAAGTTACCGCATTCATAATACAGTACTTAGTGACTGGTATATAGGCACTTACGTTCCAGAGAAGGCAATAATCCCAGTTGTCAGCAGTCCTCCAAACTGGAAGATAACCAAAATCTCATGTCATAAAAAATCGAGGGAAAAAATTCATGAAATAAGAAATTAAGTAAAAGTAAATCAGTAGCAGCGGCCGGCACCTACAAGGTTGGGGTGTTTAGTGAGCGGTGCAGACAGCAACGCAGCAGTGTGAACCAAATGATAGAGAGATGCAGTGTGCCAAACCTAAAAATAAAAGCAACAATAATCAACGAGCAATCAGCCAAAACAGTAACATCTTTTCAAGCCATCGATAACTATAAAGACGAATTACATCTTTGTAAGCTATATTTTTTGGCTTGAACACGTGGGCGCCGTAGGTCCCAAGACCAAGGGCAGCAACTCCTGTTTCAATCCGTAGTGAAAAACCAATAGGGCATCATTCCGTAGCATTCCAATGAAAATCGAGAGCGGAGAGAAGAGAAGGTGAGAAAGAGCGCACCAGAGATGGCGGCGACCTTGTGCCAGATCGTGGGATCCATGAGAGTGGCGGGCATGGACTCTCGACCGACAAGTAAAAATTGGAAAAAGATTTGTTGATGATTGATTTTAAAATTTGCATTCCGTTTAAACTAAATTTTGGGGCATTTCCACTCATACCACACAATTCTTATATATTTACATGTTTAATACGTAAACTTTCACACATGGCACTTAAATCTTCAACATCAAAATAAAAATAATAATATTATTATATTTAAAAAAAAAATGAAACTCACTTTTAAATATCAAAAAACTAAAGTACTATATATGTAAATATGAAAAATATGAGAAATAAAAATACATAAGAAGTATGTGCTACAAATGGAAATATCTCATAAATTATATATATATATATAATTTATGAGATATGTATACCGAAAATGGAATCTATTCATGCAATAATTTCAGTTACAAATTCTAAGGTAAGGGACATTCAACAGGTCCCCACCCAAAAGAAAATCAGGAGAAGGAGAAGGGGTAGTGGAAACAAGAGTTTAGTTGGAGGCATTCCCAAGCTTAGCCAACCAGTTAGTTGGGTGATTACCCTCTCTGTAAATAAAGGTAAAGAGAATGTGGGAGGAATTCTGCAAGGCCTTGATCTTCCTAAGCCAATGAGTAATGTGACAGAGATGAATATCTTCCACAGTGAGTGCCATCAGAAGTAAAGAAGAATTCATCTCCACCTGAATATTGTCCCATTGATTGAAAATTACTAGCTTGGTAACCCAAAAGACAGCTACCACCTCAGCTACCAAAGCATCCTGAGCAATAATAGGAGAAGAGAAAAAAAGGAGACATTTGCCAACATGGTCCCTAAAAACACCCCTATACCAGTTCCTTGGTCAAAGAAGCTCTCATCAGTGTTGGCTTTAATGAATGGGGGGTAGGTCTCGACCAGAGCACTTGGGTGACCGGGGGGTGCAACAATGCCAGGAAGAAATGCAGATATTATGAAAGTTCTTATGGGAGATCAGTGTAAGGAGGAATGTCTTACAGTTGGCTACAATCTTCATAGCAGTAATGAGACAGTTTTCAAATTTAGACTAATTCCTTGTCATCCAGATGAACCACTCAAAGATGAAAGGAATGGGACCCAAGTTTTCTTTGGCCCAGTCAGTCCAGCTGAGATTTAATCGATTCCATACTAATAGCAGTGTATTAATAGTTAAACAATTGATGAATTCCTTCCAGACTGTTTGGGAGAAAGGGCAATGAAAGAAGAGGTAAGCATTAGATTCTTCTGCCTGCATACATAACCAGCACCTGGAGAGGACCCTTAGCCCTTTGAGTTTAAGAATATCATCAATAGAAAAAAATTTTGAAAGATCCTCCAACCCTAGAAAGACATATAAGAAGTGAGATATTTGTTCCAGAAATAATCTCCTCAAGGGATTGAATCCCACTAATACAATTTGAAGTAAATTGCTTGAGTTAGGCTTTGTGTTTGTTTGCAAATGTAGCAATATAATCCTTCCTAGTGTATCAAAAGGTAAGTTAGAGATTGCTTTAGTAGAAGAAGGGTCAGCATATTAAGCAGCAGGTCTGTGGACCATTTATTCTCCTCTCAGCAATCATCCACCATTAAGTTATGATTCAAATTATGCTCAACAGGTTGCAACATATCATCTGGACACCACTTGTCCAACCTGAAATTAAGTTCACCCTACCCAAATCCCAAAGGAAGAGATTTTCAGCTAACATTTAAGAGATTCTCCCAAAGTTTAGAGTCTCAAATTATTCTGACAACCAGATTAGGATGAGTGCACTTGCAATATTTACACATTAGAAATTGTGCCCAAAGTGAGTCCTGATGCCTAAATTTAATCCAAAGCTTACAGAGATTGATATGTTGCAACTGTGGTAGACCTTTAAAGCCCAAACCATCAGCAACAAATGTCTTGGCAACTTTTTGCCAGCTAGCCCAATGGATGTGCTAAATCAACTCAAATGGATTTGAACCTAGGATAGAGGGGACTTACGTTGAAGTTGTCATCCAACATGTCACCGGATGCGCACAAATATGTATATATATATATATATATATATATA